ATTCCTGAAAAGAATAACAAATCTGACTGGTAATATCTGCTATTTTGGTGCTTTCATTATTCAGCCTCCAGAAAATGTTTAGTCTCAGCTGTTACTGCTTCACTGTGTAACCTAAGCTTTAGCCACACAGGAATCCTCTAGGGGTCGGCAAACGTCTTCCGTAAGGAGCCATATAGGGAATATTTTAGTCTTTGTGGGCCACAAGAGTCTCTGTTGCATATTCTTATTTTCACTTTGCAGACCTCTGTTCTGTTTGAATAGCCCATACTTTTCATTCCTTTTACCCAACCTGAGAAGGTTCAGCTTCCTGTTGATGTGTCAAAACTGAACTCATTGCCACCTCCAGGAAAACTGTTGAATCTTGTGTTACAGTCAAAGGCTGACTTTGTAGCAGTTGGATTGGGTTATTTGCTAATTGTTGAGACATTCGATAGATCCTTTGACAGAGTTATACCAAAATCACAGTGTCTCATGAGCATGTTTGAGAGAGTAATCTATTCTCTCTTTGTTATGTCACTACAGTTGACCCATTTCTTCCCTCATGAGCTTCTTAGAAGTGGGGGGTTGGGGAGGTGGCAGTGGCTACCTGGGATGGGCCCCCAAATTTGGTTGATGGATTGATGGATGCATGCATTTGCTTACACTGGTAAAACTGCACAGAATGTCCTTATTCTATTGGTTCTTTAACCATTTAACTGCCATGATATTTTTTTTTTGTAAAATGTATTTTATTGATTTTTTACAGAGAGGAAGGGAGAGGGATAGAGAGTTAGAAACATCGATGAGAGAGAAACATCAATCAGCTGCCTCCTGCACACCCCCTACTGGGGATGTGCCTGCAACCAAGGTACATGTCCTTGACCGGAATCGAACCCGGGACTCTTCAGTCACCAGGCGGATGCTCTAGCCAGTGAGCCAAACCGGCAAGGGCCTGCCATGATATTTTGAATTTAATTAAAAAAGGTCCGCCGCTTGGTCTATAGACGCTTATGGTGTACAAATGGTTAAGTGTCCACAGTAGAATGTCCATACTCTTCCAAAATTCCCATTCCTTGCATGCTACAGGAATTCTTTGCCACTCCAGCTGTGAATGTTCACTCTTGTTTATGCCTTTGTTATGGCACCTTGCAGTTTCAGTAATTTTAGGGTAATTAGAAATGGTGTCTGTTTTGCCCTGTGTGTCCTGCTGAGTTACAATGTTATTTACTTAGCTTTGGATGTTTAATACAGAGCACAGTGCTTTCATGTAATAGATACTCAAATATTAGAGCTGTTACTTTACCCCAAATTTAAAAATTAGTTTTTTTAAAAGTTTATTTTGTTTTTTTTTATATCATGCCTTTGAAGTTGATCATTTATTCATCAATAGTAATTTTTAAAGTGGGTTTGAGTCTGCAGGCCGACGCTCTATTCGCTGAGCCAAACCGGTCAGTAAAGTGGGTTTTTAACCAATGGCCGTGAGAGCTAAGTCTGGCTTGTTCTTAAATTATCTATATTACTAGAGAGAATAGCAGAATAGCAATTAATACAACTAATCAAAACCAATGTAATATCCAATAATTTATTGTTTTGCTATGTAATTTTCATTTCAACTCTACCACCTTATTTTGGCCCTAATTGTTTTAAAACCAAAATGTGTGAGTTTCCTTAAAGGAATAAAATTGCCCTAGCCGGATTGGCTCAGTGGATAGAGCGTCAGCCTGGGGACTGAAGGGTCCTGGGTTCGATTACAGTCAACGGCACATGCCCAGGTTGCAGACTCGATCCTCGGTAGGGAGGCAGTCGGTCAATGATTCTCTCTTCATTGATGTTTCTAACTTTCTCTCCCTCTCCCTTCCTCTCTGAAGTAAAAAAAAAAAAGAAAGAAAGAAAAGAAAGGATTAAAATCTATTCATCTTTTTAGAAGAAATCTTGAGCCCAAGGAACTTGGGTAGACAAGGGAGGCTGGAGATTTACAAAGACAGGCATGCAATTGGTTTTGGCATATGGAGAGGTCTGGAAACCAAGAGTGAGTCAAGCAATTTCATTTATAAGCGTTCCAACTTCTGGCAAGAATTTGAACTGCTTACTAGTCTGGTACATATTCTCTGGAAAATCCCCCCAAATTTTTGAGATATTGAATAGTATGTGAATCTCTTTGATGAGGTTGCTTACTTTATTTAACACTCTTGAAGTCTCTTTCAAAAGCCATATACTTTTTATTAAAATATATTTGTATTTCAGAGAAGAAGGGAGAGGGGAAGAGAGGAACATCAGTATGAGAGAGAATCCTCATTGCTTAGCTGCCTCCTGCACGGCCCCTACTGGGGATCAAGCCTGAAACCCAGGCACGTGCCCTGTCCAAACAGTGACCTCCTGGTTCATATGTTGGTGCTCAACCACTGAGCCACACTGGCTGGGTTAAAAGCCATACACTTATTTTCTTGGAGTAGGTTTTCACTTTAATATAGGTAATAGAATAATGAAGATAAGTGAAATATAGTTCATGGTATACCCATTCATTCATCGATCAACATTGAGTGCCAAATATGTGCCAGACACTGTTCCAGACTCTTGGGACACTGTGAACAAAGCAAAAGTCCCTGCCTTTATGGAGCTTAACGTATGGGAGGAAATAAACGGATGTATGTTAAATGATGGTAAGTGCTAAGGAAGAACACTGTGCAGAGGACAATAGGTGTTGGAAATTTGATATAGGAGACTAAGTAAGAACTCAAGTGAGCAGGTGACCTTTGAATAGACTTGCAGGAAGCGAAGGAATGAGCCATGCAGATACTTGAGAAAGAGCACTCCCAGCAGAAGCTACAGCAAAGGGAGGCCTAGATACAGGAGTGAGCATGGGGTCGAGATCACTGATGATGAGACAGGTAGTGAGGGGCCTAGATCATGTAGGGCCTTGCCAAGTAATACAGATGAGATGATGGTAGCCAAGACCAGAGCTTGTCCCAGCTTAATGTAAAATTCTGTTCTCAGAAATTAAAAATTTAATTTCTGTGCTGTAAAAATTTTATCCATTGTCTTTTTTTTTGCCACTTTGTATCATTATGCATAGTCAAATCAAATTTCTGAATCTAACGGGTTGCAATGTAGTTTTACTCAGAATACCTGATGGTATTCATGTGACTGAATTTCAGTTATGGTATATGAGTTAATGGGTATGTGGGAAGCCCTCAGTCTCAATAATCACATTATTCCTTTTCCTCCTTACACATTAAATTACAGATAATATTACATTTTAGTGTAAACTTGTTTAGCAAAACTATTTCTTGTTCTGCAATATAAGTACAGTTATAGCAGAATAGATGCTGAGACAAAAATGGATTAAATAGAATAACTGGTTCTGAACAGAGACTTCAAAATAAGTGTTGCTTAGGATTTTATGTTTAATAGAATTGTAAAAATCAGATCAGCAGGGCATGTTTTTATGGGCCATCTGCCAAGACTAGAAGTAGCTTTGGTACCTAATACTACCTTAATCATATATTTGCATTCCATTTCCTGTCAATATGAGGAGGCACAACAAAAAAATAAAATCAGAATGTTAGAGCTGGAATAAATCTTACTTGTTCAACCTTTGGTTTCATAGATGCATCCCACCCCCCACCCCCACCCCCAGCACTCTTGTATACTTTTTTCTTTATAACAGTTCTTTAACAAAACACAGATAGTTGGTGATAGAATCATAATCTAAGTCACCTAAAACTTATTTACCCTAATCTTGTACTGATCTTCTGACAGTGATCCCAATTATCAGGCAACTTAAAATTATATAGTATGGGCACATAGGCTGCTATATGTAAGCTATAGGATAGTGATTCTCAAACTTAATGATGAATAACCCTAACCTGTGAAGTTTTAAATGCAGGCTTCCCTCCTGAGATTTTGAATCAGTGGGTTTGGGATAGGGCCCAGTAAATCTGTTTTTAATGACTGGTGATATGGACTTACACAATGACATGGGACATTGCCCTTAAAAACCACCGATTTCAAGGAGTGAAGTAGAGAATAAATAGAAGTTAGCACTAATCCCTAATCATTTCCAATACATTTTAGAAAAGAGTAACAAGCTGCTTGGTCACTTGTTCCTTTGAAGAATTGTTTCTCCCTTGCATAGATGTAAAGGTAGAGGATAGAGGATCACAATTATTTTTGTTCCTCCATCATTAGAACTGTAGGGTCATTAAGATAAAGGCATTGAATCCATGTAACTGTGTGGTACTGCACAATGAAATTCTGTTTTAGTCAGAAAAATATTTAAATATTGGACAAGATGCTAGTTTATCACTGCTGAGATACTACTTAAAATGGGGCAGAGGATACTCGCATGCTCAATATTTATGTAGGGCCATGGCACAGTACAAAATGAGACACCATTTCATTAGTAACCAGAATTTTCTCAGATGTTGCTTTGTCTAATTACACATAGGTGCTAAGTGAATATTAAAAATTTTGGTGCTGGTTGAGTAGGTCCAGTAAATTGTGTTAGGATATATCTTTTTTACTGCATACTTGTACTTCAGTAACTAACAGGTAGGAATATAGTTTTAATTGAAAAGAAACCACTTGCCTTTAAAAGCAATGTGTTGCTAAGAGAAAATTCATGCTTGACTTATTCCAGTCCTTTGACTATGTCAGTATAAAGCAAATTCATTATAAGAAGGTGGGTAATAGTCTAGGATAATGGAACATAGGCCTTTGAAAAGAAAATTTTGTAGCAATTGAATCCACACCTTGGAAGGGTGAAGGCCAGAAGCCACAAATCATTTTGGTGGTGTGTTGTTTTTTGTTGTTGTTGTTTTTAAAGTAATTGCAGTTAAATTTGCAAATGCTAGTGTGTGTTTTTTTAAAGTATGTATGTAGATTTTATTTCTTCCAAGTTCTCTAGTTGCCATTAAAATTTGTAGAGACATAAGATGAGAATAAAGCGTTCTGGTTCAATTATAGGATTTGATAGGAAGAGAATGTTTCTAAAGGAACAGGCCCAAAGAAAACAGGAATGTAACATAACGTCTGTAAAGTTATTACTAAACTCTTAGAAAGAGCTTTGTGGAGGTATGCCTCTTAAAACAAATGTTGTTGCTTTTTTAACAATTTGGTGTTTAAACCTAGGGACTTATTATAGCTTAGTGGGTATACTATTTCCATTTCCATTATCTGTTTTCATCACTCACAGCCTAATGAACACTGACTTCTGTATATTTGATTTAAAAGCTATTAAGATGTAGAAAAGGTTTAGTCAGCCAAGCTTAGAAAATAACACCGGCTATTTGTTAGGTTTAGGTCATACATACATAAATGTATATTCAGATATACTTACAGATATTTACATAGTAAGTACCTAAAAACCATAGTAAATTGATTACTTTTTATTTAATGTAAGCA